TAAACGTTTTGTTTAAAATGCAGTAAATCTTTATAATGTTTATTGTCGGGTATCTCACGCTTTTGTCTGGAAAATTTTAAAGGCTTTGGCCATATTGGTCTTGTTGATTACGACGTTGTTACTGAAAGAGACTTATCAACACAGGTTATCCACTCGAAGTTATCGATTGGGCGTCCTAAGGTTGATTCTGCTGGAGATTCCATCAAAAGGTTTGGTTATTTCTTTGCTAAAAGAAAATGTGAAGTTTTGTTTCCTTAGCGAGAATAATGAATATTCGGTTTGGTTACTGCTTTCCTAAGCTTGGAGTCTTTTTTTATTAAGCTTTTAATAACAGACGTCAGCACGATTCAGGTAACATGGTTTGGTGTTTTCAGACTGAACAGTATGATCAAAATCACTAAGTACCGCCAGAAACTGAATGATTCGAACGCAGATGAGATTATTAAAAATTATGATTGTGTTGCAGACTGCACTAATACATCTGCTTCAAGGTAAAATTTCTTTCACAGTTTTACGTGGTCAGCTTCCGTCTATTTTTCGCCCTCTACTGCGAACGCTTGTTGGTTATTACTAGAACACATCATAGAACTTCATTTTCAAAGTAGTAGTAGTATGCGAGGAGGAAAAATTAAGAACCCGAAGAAGGCGTTTCATTTTTAGGAAAACTCATCACTGCCTAGTTCAATTTAAGATTAATATTTATTTTACGTTTTATTAGTTTAATGCTAGTTATGTGATTTTTAGCCTTTTGCTAAAAAAAGTTTGTTGCGTTCTGAGAATACCTTTGGTTATTGGAAAAGTAGATTCTGCAGGAGGAAGAGTGTTCGTCGTGACGTCGTTTCATGTTGGTTTTAAAAATTCTTTTTATTATAAGTTGCAAGAAGTACTGGTTAATTGAAACAGAGGTCAGTTTCGTTTTGGTTCAAATTTGTAGGAGTCATTTTGCAAATGCAGTTCTTACTCCGAAGAGACGGGGAAAAAAGACGAGGAATTGTCGTGGGCAGTGCTTGGACCTGAATACGGTTTTGTTGGGTGTTTAATGGTCACCGAATTACTTAAAATCATTGCTCTTCCACACTTGTATGTAGAAATGAATTCATGCTTTGCTTCCACAAGTTATCCAATAATAATTAGCTTTTTTTTACGGCTATTTACATTTAAAAACATCTAGGGCTATGTCGTCGAATTATTCTCGCTGCGCTGATTGTGGTACTATTTCCTCCTGTCATAAATTCGTACCTCATGGTGCTGCGAAGAAAGGTATTGTTCTGCAGGTTTATGAACATTTGACTGAAATCTTATCTTTACAACCTGGTATAATTTACGAACAGCGTGTTAAAAGTGAAATTCCCTTAGCCGTTTACCGCAAAAAGACCACTTCACCTTTAGTTTTTATTTTGGGAACTCGGCTTGGACAGAGATGTCAGGTTGAAAATATAGTTGAGAAGTCATGCCGTTAACACTTTTGGCACATTCGTCATCGATTTTCAGAGGGAGATTTTTTAAAACGATCGTCCGTGTTGATTGTTGGTGCAGGCGGTTTGGGCTGTCCCGTAGCCCTCTACTGCGCAGCAGCTGGTTAGTTTAATAGTTTTTGTTGTGGCCACCATTATGTAGCATTGATTTGATTTTGCCTATTCTAAACATAACTTAAAATCGCAATTAGTGTTGGTAAAAAATTTTCACGACAAAACCTCTTTCGGTAAACCCAGAGGATGATTCAGGTAATAAGAGAAAACCTTATGCCTAAGGTTTGGTGGGATAGAATTTTAGCATGAAAATTCTCTGGTTCTGTTTAAAAAATTCCTCTCAAGGTATCAGTGCCAACGCCTACTTGACTGAGTAACTTTAAGTGTTTTAGTGTTTTTTTCTTTCTTTACCATTACTGAGAAGTACTTCTCGTCAGTTACTTGTTTTTTTGAGGAGTTGGATGCATCGGTATAATTGATCATGACAAGGTTTCTATTGATAACTTACAGCGTCAAGTTGCCTTCAGCGAAGCAGTCGTTGGCGAAAGTAAAGTGGAGTCATTAAAAAAAGCTATTATAAGGTCAGATCGCCTACTGTTATATGAAAGCCGGTAGCTTAACTTGACCTGAGATGAGAAAAATTTCTTCATTTTCTTGTCGGATGGCACATCAGATATTTTTAAATTTATCCTTTAAACTGAATGCATTAGTTAATGTTTTAGGTTTCTCGCCAATGTGAAAGAAATTTTCCAGGTTGAATGGAGAGTGTTTAGTGAAGCTACACGACGTATCCCTCAATAGTTCGAACGCTAAATGTATCATTGATAAGTACGACATCATCGCAGACTGTTCTGACAATGTTCCAACAAGGTAACAAACTGTAATTAAGAAGTAACTTGTTAAGTCAAGTAAAGTAAGTGTTATTGCCTTCATTTTATTATACTCATTCCTCCACCTGCTGTAAAGTATGACATTTTTTTCTCGTCATATTTTGGGTAGAAAATGCTTATGATGTGCACTTCAGATGTCTTATTAGTGATGCCTGTTCCATGTTAACTAAAAAGAGGCAGATTGTTTCCGGAAGTGCCCTGGGGTGGTATGGACAGCTTTCTGTTTATAATAATCCGAAAGTACGGAATCGGTATCTTCCTTGGACTTTTAAACCTGCTTTTCCATATTGAAATTTAGGAGTACTTTGCCGGCTACATCGACCATTTTTAGCTTTATGTTCCCAGGCTATGCGTCTGAGTAACGGAGCATAGTTTTTTGTACTCTTCTGTGATAGAAAGTTGTATTCTAGAAACCGTTGTGTTTTCGCTGTCTTCATCCAGAGCCTATTCCGAAAAGTTGCAACGGGAATTGTTCAGATAATGGTGTTATTGGGTCTGTCGTTGGAGTTATTGGAAGCTTGCAAGCTTTGGAAGTAATGAGAATTGCTCAGGAAGAGTCGCGTCAGCTTATTAATTTGTTATATCTCCTCATTTTATTTTTGTAAGGGGTGCGGTTATTAAAGCTTCTTGTTTTCTTTTGCGACAAGGTTTGTATAAGGACTGAAGCTCAACTTTTCAGCTCTATTTGCCGGGAAGCTTTTTGCTTATGACGGCTACAGCGGCCGCTTGCGTGACGTCTTGCTTAGGCAGAAAAATGAGAACTGTCTTCTTTGTAGTGGGTCCTGGACAGAAAGTGAACTGCCGGACCGCTGCGATTTTTATGATAGTGCAACAGACCAAAAAGTTACAAAATTTCATGGTTAAAAAGTATTCTTTGTCGGAAATCCAGGCGATTTCCTATATCATTCTGCAGTAGTTGAGGAATCCACTCTGCCATGATTCACGCCTTCAAAACTTTTTTAGAACCCCTCTCTCCAGCTGATTGGGATATCTGATCGAATTACTCCACAAGAAACTAACAAAGTTTTGACGCAAGCAGTGGAGCCACAGCCTTATTTAATTGATGTTCGCCCTCCGCACCAATTTCGTATTGGACATCTGAAGAATGCAATAAGTTAGTTTAATAACATTTTCAAATGTCTGCGAACAATTTCGGCTTGACCAGGTCATTAAAAGACTAAGAATTTTTTCACTGTGCAGTTGTATATCCAGATATCCCGTTTGATGAGCTCGTGAAGTTGAACAATGCAGATATACTACAGCATATGGGAGCTACTGAAGACTCGTTGAAAAGTAGAAAAGGTTGGAAAAAACACAATATTTTATTTAAAATTTTACACATTAGTTTATCCTACTCTACCATTTCGTTTTTTTGGTGTGTAAAATGCATAAACAGTTTTTAGCTGTTGTTATTTGTCGCCGTGGTAATCATTCGCAGCTAGCTGTTTTGGATCTGAGGAAGAAATTTCCTCAATTGCTTTCGAACACCTTCAAGGATATGGTAGGTGGCTACACCAGTTGGCAGCAGGTCGTTGATATAACATTCCCTATATATTGAATATCTGATATTGCCCGCACAATCTTGCTTAAGCAAGAGTAAAGAAGTTAAGGAGACAAGTCTCTGTCGGATCCTTTACTTCTCATTTAACCTGTAGCTCTGTCTAGAAGCTTCCCTCAAAAACTGATTGTACGGAACGCTGCAAAAGTGTAGTCTTGTTGGAGGGTTCCCAACTGATTTATCATTGCTTTTGGCTGACTGATTGCTTTCTGAGAGGAATGCTAGGAAGTGGGAAGTCTGTGGTTAGCAGACTTCCGAGTCTTAATTTCTAGCTTGTTTTAGCCCTGAGTCCAGCTTGCAGGTCCTTCTCCACCCTTGAGTACTCCAGAATCTCTTCCTCTTGGTGCACTGCTAAGAAAATGTTACAACCCCAGTTGGAAGGCATGTTGCAGACGCGAGTTGGAGGAACGAATTTTAAATAGAGGTTTATAGATGTAAAAATCGCCTGTCGGAAACGCAAGTTCAAATTTAGCCGCGGACATGGTGCATAAATCCTCAAATTTTGTCATACGTGAAGTCATGAAAAAAAGCACCTTTAGTAAAACGGGGAAAAAAACGCAACCTTAGTCTTTGTTTTGCGCGAAGCCAAGAAATACCTCGATGTAGCCTGAGACATCTGGAAAGAAGTTAAATTGCAAACCGCAGCTGCGGATGGGAATCTGAGTGCAACACTGCTCAATTCAAAAAATGGGGAAATTAAGGGCGGGAAATTTAAAATTTCAAATTCGCCACCCAGAAATTTACGGTGATGATATACGTATAGTCGCGTTCATTTCTAATTGTATTGCCAAGAATACGAGCGGGAAAATGCCTTTGTTTTCTGAACGGCTCCAGCAGCTTTGGCGCAGTGCCACTGCGGTGTAAAGAAGTACCTCTACTTTAAGCCAGCGGACTTCGGAAAGGTATACAAAATTTGTATTACACGTGTATATGAGATGTAACAAAGAACTTTTGTTTATCGGTGTTTAACCTCTTCGTTTTCGGAATTTCATGCTTTTTGA